CGAAACAGTCGATTTTTTTTCTTTGACAATTTGCCGATTGACGAACGAAGGATCGCGAGTAACAGTGCAAAGGACGCCGAAACATTCTGTACGTTTGCGCATATACGCGGCTTACTGAGTGTAAATGAAGCGGCTTGTAGGCTAATGGAGGTAGCGCTACCGATGTTAGCTGAGCAATTAAGCTGGTCCGCGGTCGAACAGAGGATAAATAACGGATATACAGGTCGTCATGCGAGGATACCGGCGGCTAAGGAAACGGCTCTTACTCGTCTTTTACAAAATTCATTAATAGCCAGGCTGTAGCTATTAACAGCTCTCGGTAGTAAGTACTCGTATTCGTGATCGCAAAGTAGGCAAGGATCGGAATTAACTCATGTAATTACTTGATAATGACGCTGTAATTTTGCATTGCATTTTTATCAACCTTGCTAATTGCTCACATGTAATGTAGTCAATAAAGTAAGCTGGTAACGGAAAAGGCGATAAGAGTTACTTAGCAAGCTAACCTACTCTATTAATTGATTTAAAAATTTCTTTTAAAAAAAAAAAAAAATGTTAATGTTGTTTACCTCACAGAATGCATGACGTATAATCTAGTTTTTGCATAATTATAAACTCGCAATCATTTACGGTCGGTCGAACAAACAACGCATAGGCAATATCATATTCTGACAAGCGAGATACGTAACTTGATTGCTAGATTTACTGACTTTCCCCGAGTTTACGATACCGCGAGAATCAACTGAGATAATCAGTGACATCCTCTCACATGAGTGAAACGTACGCTCGACGCTCGTCAGAAAGCACGGATTCTCTCTGTAGCATCGCCTCCTCGTTATGCCGACAATTTCCCGACTGATCCACGTCGGTCGCTTTTATGGCGCCGGCGATTTATTCCTTTATGACTATCCTCGGCCAATTTCGAGGCGACCTTGTCCGCGTAGCGCGTTTCACTGCGGAATAACTGCTTTGTTCACCGATTACGCCGTTGCTTCGCTCATAAATACATATGCCGGTTTAATACAGCGCGTTATTCCCGCTTTCGATTCTGCGCGCTTACAAATTAATTGCCATATTAAAATTATTTACGTAATTGGCGTAAAAACGAACCGCACTGAGTTAGAATCGCTAGATGAAGCTACTGGAGGACATAAAAAAGTGATTAAAACTACGTAAATAATACAATGTGTTACAATAAACGATGCATATGGCAGGAATCAAAGTAAGCTTTATCGTATTTTGAATACAAACGCTTATTTGTCGGCGATGCGGTTGATAAACGCAAACGACGATATTGATGCGTCTCGATCATTATCAGTGCTGAAGGCACAAGTGAATTTCCGAAAAAAATGTGCGGTCGCTTCGGCTGTGGGACCGTTATATCGACGAAGATGTGTGCGTCAAATCGTAAATGCAAACGCACGAAACGCGGGGAAAAACGACGCGTGGGCCCGAGGCCGGCATTAATGACGTGCGGCACTCGTTCGCCTCGTTACTGTCGCCCTGGGGCAGCCGTGGGTAAGCCAAGGGAGAAAGGAAGAAAGAGAGAAAGACAGCCACCCCAACTACACACACCGAATCCTCCCAGCTCGCCATCGACTCCTTCTCGTAATGCGGCCAGGATATTATTTGTTTCCACTTGTTTGTGCGCACGAGAGCTTCCAACAAACAAACAATCTGCCCTTCCAAGAGCGATGCCGCCACTCCACCGCCGCTCTCTCTTGTCTCTCTCATCTGCTTTTCTTTCTTTCTTTCTGCATCCTTCGTTCCTTCCGCGTATGTTACTCTCGGCACTTTTCATCCTTCTTTCTTTCTCCTTTGCGCGCATTTCTTTCGCGGCATAAATAGATCGTGGAGGAAAAAGGGTGGGAAACGGAAAGAACGATATGCGGAAGAAGGACGAGAGGGGTCCTTTTCTCACTCGCGTTTGCCCGCTGTACCGCCAATGAGGCATTCGCCGCGTCCGTGCCAGCCAGCGCGCCCTTTTGTGTCAATACTGCGATAATTATTTCTGTAGAGCGGCCCGTAATGGCTCATTCAGGCGGTGTCGTCTGCTTTTTTCAATGGTAAATCGCACCATTAAGCGGCTATAATGAACGCCAGCTCCAGCTCCGGTGCGGTGCACTCGCGATGATATTTATCTTCTGCCGCGCGAAGGAGAGGCGGTCAGCGTTCCACGGAAAACGCGCTCTTTTTGTTTTATTATAGTTTATTCAGGATGAACGAATACCGGTATTTCACGGAGAAATTATCAAGAAATGCCATTGTCCCTTCGCGATCCGATTTGTTCGACGAAGCAAACTTACGGCGTTCGAGCGAAATTGTTAAGATGGCTGCACGGTTGCATAAATAAGGCGATAAGACCGGTTTGCCTCGCGAAACCTTCGGAAGAACGGTAAGAAGGCCAATGACAAGTGTAAGGAAACCAACGATGAGATATGTTTCACGGAATCAAGAGATTGATACATCCTGTGACGGGTAAGCGTCGTTCGCGCGCGAGACAGCTGGACGCTCGTCGCTGCACCTGTTCGATCGAATGTCTTTTAATCATGGAAATTAAATAGCCCGTATTGGATAAAAGAATTGCGTCCATTAGGCTTCTCGTATTATATCCCGCATATCTGCCGGCAACACGGGAATATCACGAGAAGGACAAACTGTCTTGTAAAAGTAATGCATTTGCGATGCGAGAAATTAGTACACGTCACGTCACCTGACGAAGGTGCCTTCGTGGTCGGCGCCTTAACGACAATGTTGATCTCGCGCTACACGCGGCATTCCGCTGGTATTGGTGTTACATGTGTTGGTATTATAATTATATATGTCATTTCATTTACGGTAAAAGCTTATTATTATTCCGTTCGCTCGCGATGTACGAGTACCTGAAAACAGGTAATCGATAACGTTAAGTATGCTGAAACTGGACTGCCACTACACGATGCGGCTTAAGCACGTATTACAGCGATACGTTACGTTTAATGTCCTCTCTTTCCCCCTTCTCACCCCTCGCGCCTCCCCCATAATGATGGACCAGGTCGTTCGTCCGCTGATCTCCTCTGCGTTTAAGCTATCTTATATGCCGATACGTTCATCAGCATAATCATCGCAGTCATTAGAGCCTGTGTATACATACAGGATGCTTTCTCGGGCGCTCTGGGTGTCCCAATTTACCGCATATTTTTCTCATCAATTCGCAATCGATCTTTTATTGACAAAAAAAAATGATATCAAATATATATGCGAAAGAAAAATTTTTCGAAGCCGATGCATTAATCTGGATAGAAAGGCTGGCGTTTCTGGATTGCGAGGAAATGGCACATCATATTGAAACAATGCGCGAGGGCGCATTAAGCGTTATTAGCGACATGCTTTGACCCAAATTGCTCGATCGCGAGCGCGGCGAATGAAAGGGATATTTTACGACTAATAAGAAGCATTTGCTGTAATAACTGTACTTGATAAAGCTAAAGATATAAGACTTTGGGGGTATAATTGAGATTATTAATTATAATGCACTTGTGCGGAATACGGGTGATTTGCCTACCGAGCTGCTCATACAGCGCGCACTTTTATTGATTTCACGCAAACGCGGCTCTAAGATTCCAACAGTTTTCCGTGCTATGTTACATCGCGCGAAATAGCCGATTGCAGATAAGCGCTACTTTGTAAATGCGACGACTGTAGAATGTCGTAACTTCCGGAGAACACATCTTGCTGCCTCGCGTGACGGGCAACGTTTTCATTCTGCGTCCCTTATCGCCGGTCGATTCGCCGGTCGCGATAAGTCAGTGCTCACAACAAGTAAATGAGGGGTCAAATAATTCTCAGCGGCGGATGATCCACGCCCAGCACCCCTCGCGCATCCCTCGTTTACCACCTCATTTTATCCCCCATTCGCGACGCGACGCTTCGATAATCGATCTAGACTAGACGCGTTAATTATTTATCAGGCGGCACGCGTGACTGGCGATCGTCCAATTAAATTAAAGCAGGAAGCCGGATCGCGATTATCGGCACTTCAGCGACCCTCTCTCCACTACATTTCGACGATGCTATCTGATTGACGCGACCTGCCAATGTGGCGTTCGGTGCTTTCGAGTGCATTCGATTCGAGTCCATTAAAACTCGTTAGTGTCCCTATACGCACACCTTAATTGGACGACGCTGAGCTTTTACGCCCGAGCTTTTCGTCCCGATAAGTCCGTCTGGTCTAACGTTCTTTATCTAAAAGATGGAAGACAGTAAAGCCGCGCGATTGATTAAAGAATTAAATTAGTATATATAAGATGTATCAGATCTCGTTATTTCTTATATATTACGCTACAACTTAAATGCAGCAAAATTATGCGTTCGTTGAAAATTTAAATAATCATAGAGCACATAACACGTCATTTACGATACCATCGATCCCTGCGTCTTGTAAAAATTCCAGCCGCCCTTCCTCGCGGCATTACTCACATGCCACACGGAAAGTTCGGAAACTTTGTAAGTAAGCGATACGCCGGTATTCCGCTACTTACGATCTCACGATCCGCCGTAAACGTAATTAAAGCCAACATTTTTGTAATGCCGATATAAGTTCTTTGCCGACGATACGGGCCTTTATGGCGACGTAGATCTTCCGGAGTGCCGTTTACACGCGCGATTGCAACACAGTACACGATACTTGAAGAGGTATAACATAGCGAACGGTTGCGTATACCTCGGCGGTAATCGTAAATTTTTTCGTGCCATATCAGACGAGGTTGCTAGCCATTTTTGAGATAATTTTCCAGTAAGTGCGCGAGATCTACGTATTCTATATATCGCCGAATCGTCGCGTGCTCGCCTCGCAGCGTGTATTTGCGTTTGTGCAACCGCAATGCAGTGCACTTTGTTTAATCGTGAAGAGAAAAAGCTAAAGAATAAATAAATTTTATGTGGTGGAAAAATAATATTATAATATTTATATTTAAAATTCATAATTTATTATTAATTTATATATCTTATTAATGTTTCAGGAGGTCAATTAATTCATAATGTCAACTCACACAAAACTGCATCTGAGCCAAGCGTGAATTCGCGCGAAACGATTCTGCGAGGTAATACTTCGTGAAGTAGAGAAACCTCGGCGTACATCGAGGAAACTGCCGAGGAGGTGAAGGGCGAGGAGGGAACCGGAGGTCGATCGAGGTCCCGATGGAGCGCGGTACGTTATACACCCCCGCAAACATATGGGGCCCATTGTGTACCCTTAGGGGCTCACACCCCCCTCCCGGCGCGGCGGTTTTACCGCCGCCGTCGAGATACGAGCCAAGATACGCCCGCCTTTATAGACCCTACACCATGTTTCTTCTGTGAAAAGGTGCGCGCGAGGTAACCTGGAAACCGTCGAGTCGCATTCAATGTACGGCGCGGAGGCGCGAGTGCGCATTCGACAACGAATGTGTGCTGGATGTTGACGTCCCGCGAAAGCCGCAACAAAATAGATTTGCACAAACGAACTCCGGAAACATTACAACGCGCGGAAGAAAATGTCGTCGGTTTTCTTCTTGTAGCTCTCTATTACACTCAATGTTCTCTTGTGTAAAAGTAAAGATTCCGTTAAAATAAAGTTTGCTTACATAAAATTATTTAGAAAATAATATTAACAAAAAACTTTTTTGTGAACCGTTCACTATTCCGAAACTATATTAGTATCTCAGTACATTATCGTTGACGTTAATTATTAATTGAAAACGATTTTGATCAAATTAACACACTCGTTTTAACGGTGATAATTTAGACATAAACGCGCAGATGTAAACAGCGAGTTTATCGGAAACGAAAGCTGTATTACGAGATGAGATGAGAGAAAAAAAGGTGAGATATGAGTGAAGACTATCACTCATCACGGAGCTCTCCGGGGAAGCAAAGATACGTTGTAGGTCGTGCGTTATCCCCGCATGTGTGAGGACAGGCCGCGGGGAGAGATGAAACCGAGGGAAGGGCGAACTACCGTTCCACCTTATCACCTACCAAATAATGGAGGCATATTGAATAGATAGCCGAACCTAACCGATATCTATCTGATCCTCGGGTCCCGCGGGGATATTAAGGAATCGGCCCTTTTCCACGCCCTTCGTCGTATCGCACGGCGGGCGTATACCGCGTACGCGGCATTTCCAATGGGAGAAGTGTGTATTCGAATAAATCCAAAGTCCTCTCACGTTTCCCTCGTCTCCCTGCTGCGGGATTCGCGGCAACCTGAATCGCCGAGGGGAAACGGTTTCCTTCGCGCTTTCTCTCGATACAAACAAATTTCGTGTCGCTGTGGAATCAATCTGCGCTTTCCACATGGAAATCTACATCGAGTGTCGCGTACAGAATTCTGATTCTTGTAAAATTAGATTCATACATAAATAATTTAAATTATAAATTTTTGCGTATGTATATAAAAATTTAATTACCTTTTATTTTGCCCATGTTTTTTTTTTTTATGGAATGCGTCGTAAAGGAAAAATGTTTCGGTTTTATTACATTAATATTTAGCTATCACGCTCAAAGACGAAGACACTTTAGTGGTCTATTCCACCGAAATTGCTTCTCGCACTTTGACGTGTACACACTGCGAGATAAACGTACTATTGTGTTCACAAGCATACATAAACTGCGTGTCTGAACACGCGAGTCGGTTTGTGTGCGTCTTCCTTTGTATCGCGTGTTGCCTTTGCACATACATTTCCCTTCGATCCGCGCAACGCGAGGTGCACGTCAGGGAAGGAGAAGAAAAGAAAATCCGTGTGTTCGCGCCACTCACTAAAGGGTATTGAATTTGTTGGCGGTGTGTTGAACAAATGATTGGCGCAGCTACCGCCGCGGAAAAACTTGGGTGAAAGTGGCGGCTCGGTTCGCCCGATTCGCCTATCACCGTCGCTACCGCGTTTTCTTGGTTCTCCTCCGTCTCTGGGCCGAGACCGAGGGTTGTCGAACGAAGAAAGTTTACGGGCTACAAAGCACTCCCGGAGAAAGTGTCGAGAGCACAATCATCTCGAACTTCCCCGCTTTCATCTCGCACTTCGCTTTTCTAGGCGAAACACGCGACCGAAGTACACGTTCGTAGATACACGTTCTCGATAAAACTGTACCTTCAAGAAAATCTATCTCGCGTTTCCAGAAGTCACATTTGTTAAAAGTAAATTAGAAAAAATATCAGAAATTTTCGAAACAAATTATTCATATCTCGTTGATATTTTTATAGAATCCTCGCAGTTCGTTGTAGAATAATCCGTGAAATGTAGTGAGGGAGAAATCTAGTGATCTGGATGCGGCGCAATATGCCGCCGAGGAATTTCGCGAGACGAGACGGCAATCAGATCGCGCTCGCACGGTACGCATACCCGATGAAGCGATTCGATGGGGGTTCTCGTCGCTTATATTAATTTGCGGCGGCTAAGCGCCGATTCCGAGTGTGGTCTCGTACGGGACGTACTCCACGCTTTTTGTCGTCGTCGCATTATTAAATACGATTTGCGCATTCCATTCGCGGAGCACCGATTGAATAATGCGTCTGAGATTTCACCCTTCGCGAAACGAGTGAATGGAAGAATCTCGCTCGCGATTTCCCGATAGTAGAAATGGATGAAGCACTCTACGACAGTTCGGAAACGTTATTTATAATTTACAAGTAAATTGCGTTTCTCATCCGCTCCCTTTTATCACACGGATGAGTTTAATTCCAAGGAAAACCGAAAACGATTATAATCGTAGAATTAGAAATCGATAAAATTATGATAAAAAGATTAATATCACAAAATCACGCGTATATTTTACTTACGTAATATGCCACTTTACATGCTTCGCGAAACCCTTGTCACTCTATTCGCACCTCGAAGTTCAAAATTCGAGCGATCGAGTGGGAAGCACCGGAACTATCGAGATGCGTAAAAATTTGGACGAGCAAATCGCGCGCGTGTCGGCTACGGCAGGCTGTATCCGGGCACTGAAACCGCGGCAGGTTGGTCGAAGGTAGGACGAGTTATGCGGTAGAGGCGAGCGAGCAGGAAGGCGTGCGAGAGTGGTTCCTTTCTCGAGAGATGCGCGAGCCACGTAATCCTTGCGAGGCCCGTCTTCACTCTCGAGTGGTTTCGTCTCCCGGCCCGAATAAATAAGCCGGAATGTTAATAAGGCAGCTTCGGATCGAATTATTCGCTGCCGAATTATTCGCCGGTCGCGATCAGATATTTGAACACATCAGGTATTAAATTACATCTCTAAATTTCTGAATCTAGAAATAATTGACAGTTTTTGGATATTATTTAGATGTTCAGACATAGATTTCATATTTTAAATTAGAAGCAAAAATAGATGTCGAAGCACACGATGGCACATTTGACAGGATGATTTCACAGTTTTTATGAATGCCATTATTAGATGCTGATCGACACGTCGTAATTTAAGGATTGCGCACCCAATTAAGTCAGTTTTAAAATACTAACCAGCGAGGAAAATTCGACGATGTAATATTTGCTATATTTGTGCTTTCAAGAATCTCTAATATCAACAGTAATTTAATGTACGTCAATAATGGTAAGAGATTATCAAAGCGGATAGTGAATTGATAAATTCATATGAATATTTAGCATCTATTTGTGTACGGAGCTGTGAAACGATCATCTTCAGCGAATTAACGGCAAATTAGACATGCCATTTTGCTTACGAAGCAAACGGATATAGATGTCTTATGTGCATTCTTTTTACCTTGCTGGTTTCGTCAAGTATTAATCCGATAATGTAATTTTACATGAAATGGTTGCGGCGTGCTCGTCAGATCAATTATCTCAAGGAAATATCAGAATAAACTAATATATTATTCAGTATTCGCGATGTCGCTTAGAAGTCTGTGATAATAGTTCGCGCCTGAAGTTTTAATTCGCCGTAATATATCGATCGATTATTCTGCCAAGCAAATATTCATACGGCAAATATTCTTTCGGTCGGTCCGAAGCCGACGGCGAACCGTAAGAACAAGTCGGTTCTCACGCGAGGACATGCATTTCGAGCGTCGCGGTCGCGTTTGTTCGCCCGTCCACCATGTCGGGCGAGTCCTTCATGACAGACGTACAGGATCGGGCTTTTCTTCTGCCCGCTTTACCGCGCATTAATTACATCGCGGTTGTCCCAGAGCACGACAGAGACAAAGATGGCAAAGTGGACCTGTGGACAGCGCCTAAATGGACTGCGAGAAAGAGAATGTCGTGAATAAAGCAAATTAGCTACCTTCTACACAGAGTTCATTAGTAAATGACATGCATGCGACGTAGAAAAATTTAATGCACAGTAGATATGCAAATTTTTTACAGTTAGTAATAAAATAATATTAGATTTAATTTGCAGCAAGATTTCTTTTGACCGCTTTTAAAAAAAAATACACGTCTTAATTGTCAAACATTTTTTATAGTTGAAGCTGAAAGAGAAAAATTTAGTTTATTTCTTTTCTTTTCATTCGATTTAAAATGCGCGCATGCAGGTATGTGCAGCGTATAGGTAATGAGAATACAAGAGATGAGATTCGTACTCGAGAGCGATGGGTTTTGCGAGAACGTTTTCATCGTCGTCGTTGTCCTCGTCTTTGTCTTCGTAAGCGAGACACGCGTGTCTCCCGTCTTTGGTCACGGGGAATGTTATCGGGCTGTATCGTGCAACGGTTTTCATTACCATTCGTGTGCACGGAAGGCTCGCGGATCGCGGCCGGCCCACTCTGAAAAACATGATTTGATTTATTACGAACCGCATAACCGACGTCGCGTAATGTCGTGCGCGCTCGACTTTTTTTCTGCTTTTTGAACGCAAAGTATGCCCCGACAAGTGTACGAGACACTTGTCCGCAGTGCATAGATCTTGTCTGGATATTTTACACGTTATACATATATTTTCAGGATTGCTCTTTAAAGCATTTGGATAGGTGACTAATCTTTCTTTTTTTAGAAAAATTTATTACATTATATATATATTTATACAATAAATACGCGATTAAACTAACTAATCAAAGCAATATTTATTGGTTGTTTTAATAAAAAAATTCGAGTAAATTTTATATGGCAAAAATAATGATTTGCGTATACTATAATTTAGATTAAAAAATTATATATCGTTTCAACATTTTGTATCATTTTTATGTTATTTCTTTTAACAATATATTTTACCGAAGGGTAGACCGTTGCGATAATT